TTTGCTTCGATTTTCTCTTTTTTTTGTTTTTTATCTTTTGCTTGGTCTTTTTCTTCTTTTGCATCGCCTTTGTCTTTGTCTTCTTTGTCTTCTTTTTTCTTTTTCTTTTTTTTCTTCTTTTTCTTCTTCTTTTTCTTCTTCTTTTTCTTCTTTTTCTTTTTTTTCTTTTTTTTCTTTTTCTTCTTCTTCTTCTTTTTCTTCTTCTTTTTTTTCTTTTTTTTCTTTTTTTTCTTCTTTTTTTTCTTCTTTTTCTTCTTTTTTTTCTTCTTCTTTTTACGGCGATTGTTGGAAATATTCGGATTAGAAATGTTTTTATCTGTGCGGCAAGTATTGATAAATAACTTTTCCAGTACATTGCTGTCGTTACGTTCATTTGAATTTAGGTACGTCGTTTCTACATCAATGGCCCCTCTTAGAAATTGCAAGGTATTCCTGTGCAGATTGTGTTTATATGTACTCTTGTTGAGATTACAATCACATATATCCTTGTTGGGAATGTTACCATAAGTTTTCTTATTAAGATTTCTACCATATGTTTTCATAGGTTCTTCAGATTTCCCAAAGTCTGATTCACACGCGTCGTACATCATAACCTTATGATCTATTTAAAACGTATAAACCATAATTTTCTTGTCACGGTATACAAACTTTTCGGAAACACCAATTAGATTCTATTGGGTACTGAAAACGTCGTAAGCGAGTTTAAATAACTTACCATTTGCTTGAATATCGCTAGAAAAAAATTTAAATAGAGAAGACTGAAAACAAACAATCACGTAATGCATAGTAATTTTATAGTCTACGTAGATTTATATTACAAATTAATTCAATTATTATATGACTACGAAAAAAAAAATAAAACAAAGTCATAAAAAAAAAAAATTAAAATTACGATCATATGGGAAAAAATTGAGCAGAATATTCTATGCACACTGCCAACGCCCATCGATACCATCTCTACTTAGGTACAAACGCACACAGATGACCAATATTTTAATATTAATCATATAAAATTATGAGGGATCCTC